CCCCAAAACCCCAAAACCCCAAAACCCCTAGAATGATATAGCTTCTGAGAGTTTGGTTTTAAAATGAAAGTCAGAAAATGATCTGCTCTAATAATTAGAACTCTTAAATTATTAATGATCTAGATATTCAAGTTTCATCTAAAGCCTCCATCTATTACTTCTTAAATTGGAAACTTAAACTTATTAATATTTTTGAAACCAATTTTTTCTATTTTCATCGAATATCTCTATGGTTAAAGCTTCACCTGAATCCAAGGAGGATATAGCTAATACTCCACCTAAAAATACCCTCGCTAAAGAGGAAAAAGAATCTAACCTAAATGAAGATACTTAAGCGAAATCCAAGGAGAAAAAAACTAAGGCAATTAAAAAAGACAAGGACTTGTCTGCAGATGGTTCAACTAACAATTCTTCTCCAGGAAAAGAATCTAAAGATGAAAAGAAGAAAAGCAGTAGTGGCGCTGCTTCTAAGGAATAAGTTGAAGAGATAAAGGTCAAATATAATAAATTGAAGAAAAAGTATAGATATCTGACTGAAGAATACTCTAAATTGCTTGAATCTTGGGAGTAAGGCACCAAGTCTATGAAGATAATTTTAGAGGAAAGAAAGTAAGACTAATTCTAAATTATCAATACTTATTTAGGTTTTTGAAAAAGAAATTAGATGCATTTTTGAAGAGTTAGCATTCTATAGATGATCAAATATTTAAATAAAATGGATAAGAATCACTAAATAAGTAAGGAATCACTGGTGGGTAATAAGATAATCAATCTTCTGCTCCTAAAATAGAAAATAAAATGTAAATGAATAATATGAACAAACCACCAGCTCCTAATCCAAATATTTCATAACAAAACGGAGGAATGAAACCAGGAATGCCAATGTCAGCATAAATGTAGCAATAAAAGAAACCTCCAGTGATGAACGGAGTTCCAACTACATACGCCCCAAATATTTAACAATAAAGACCTCCATAGACTACGCCAGGCTATTAAAGCAATTCTTACTCTCATGGAGGTTCTTATGGTGGCTAATACTAAAATTAAGGGCTTGTGAATAGATAAAACACTCAGGGAGGCCCTTAATCCAGTGGGCTTGGATCAAGTGCTAGCACTGCCAATAACGGCATATCATCTTCAATTAACTCTGTATATAATAGCAATAGTGGGACTAATCAAATGAACTATTATCAAAATGGAGCACCTGGGGGCTAAAGTCATGGAATGGGAAATAGTGGTCCAAGCTATTCCTCGACCATGGGAAATTCTGGGTAAAATATGCATAACTCTTCAAATTATTGAAACATTTTAATTTAATAAATATGTTAAATAAACACTATCACTAATAAATCAGCAATTATTGTTTAAAACTTAATTATAACAATGTAAATGTCTTTCGATGGCAAATAACAATAGCAGGAAAGTAACACCGATGCCTAGATTGTAGATTTCACTAAAGAGCAGAGCGAACTTATTCTTTTCAACACGAAATCCTCATATTCGGATCCTTCGGAAAATGATGAATTCTATGATTCAGCCCCTATAAGGCTTCTCAATCGCAACCTGGTAATATACATTCACTCTAAATTTTTGATATAGAAAAGAGACTACAAATAAAATCTATTCGCCTACTAGCTTTGTAGTTTTTATCTTGGATTTTTTACATATATGGGCTGGAGTACTGTCACAGGTTATGCTAATAATATATCCTCAGTTTTTAACAAAGATCATCTGTTCTTTGCAGAATTTATGTAAAATTCTAATTTTTAACCTTAAATCTAATAGATCTATGTCTGCATTTATGGCATTTGTAAGATTGCTCCATATTCAAGTACTATTCTCAATAAGCTATTCAATTAAGATTTGGGCTTTCACCTTGACTTCACTAATTGCTTACTTGCTTCTAGGTATATCTATTCTTCACAAAGAAGAGGAATTCGCTTTTGAGTTATGCCTACTATCATGCTCTCTTCATGGTGTCGCTCATGCATTTGGAGAGTCTGTTTTGCTTGGATTCTTTAAGTTTTTCCCATCGGATGCAGTTTACATGTTTGCAACTGGAACAGGATTTTCAGAGCTTTTCTCATTAATTTTCATCCTCTTAATCTTAAATATTGGTGTTTTCTTTGGGTTTGTAAGTTCTTATTGAAGTTGCATTTTACTTATTATATTAGGTATTTATTTTGCTATCGCTTCTAGTAATACCATTTGCTTTTGGATTTCAATGGATTAATAATAAAAAAAGGACATTAATTGGATCCAATTAAGACCTTTACCTTAAGTATGGACTTGATTAAGATTAAAATCCCTAAGCATCCTTTGTGCCAAAAAATGATTCAAGCGAGGCTAGCAAAAATAATGAAGATTAATTTGTTGCAGAGGATGATGATGAAAATTAGAAGACATTACTATCTAAGATTAGTAACACTACTACTTTCTTAGCTAATAAAATAAGAAATGTTAATTTTTCAAAGCATATGAAAAAGGCGTTATCTAAAAATCATTATAGAATGAAAAATATATGGAGGGTGTTCTGGTAAATCAAGAGAATTTTCTTCAATTAGTTTATGGTAACCCTCACTAGTGATTTCATAATATCATTCTTGATCTACTATCAGGTGCAGTTTAAGATTTAATCACTTGATGATAAAGTACCTGGCAAATTTATGTATACTAAGGAATTCGTGACTAAGTATGAATTCTTATTGCTTTAAATCGCTAATTCTGTTGGTGCTTTCATTGCAAGATCATAAACCAACATAGTCGTAATGAAAGTACCACTCTCGATGTCTATTCTACAGACTGTGAATTTGCTTTTCATTATTTTTAACATCAATGTTTTGAAATTTGACAGCTTTACATTTATGTTCATTTTCATGATTTACTCTGGCTATTTAGGAGGTAGTGTTTATCTTAATACTTTCTTCATTATCACTTAAAAGAGAACTAAGGAAATGGACAAAGCCTAATATTATCAAAACATCAAGCCAGTTGCTTTTGAAGATCAAGAGATTGCTATCAATATTGCATTGATAGGTATGGATATTGGCTATATGGTAAGCTCAGTAATTGGACTTTTCATGTATCTCTATTTTGATTACTGATAAAGGTTCAATATCATAAAGTTTTATTTAAATCCCCTTAAAATAGCTATTTTCTTACATACGGGGTTTTGGGGTTTTGGGGTTTTGGGG